GGAGAAGGAACACATCTGAGGACAGGCAGTAAAAGTAAAACTAAAGGATAAAAAGATCCACTACAGCACCTATAAAGAGCTTAAAGTTTAGAAGAGAGCACATGCTGTTTGTGCTGCGTCCGGGCTTTGCTGCAGTCTGCTGCAGTGACTGCACACAACGGGGCTGCAAAGTGACCAACTGATGGCCGTGTTTTGTGGATTACTGCGTGTCTTATTATTTACCGCTCGGCTCTCAGGTTGTGTGTCCTGATTGCCTGCGGCCCACCGCCTACATCATACGTCTTCTCGCTGGTGCACCTTCGCGTTCCTATGGCAACCAGCACCAGCATAGTGATCAAACAGCTACAGCAATATTTCCAAGTGGTTTTGGTAAAAGGAGCTCTGTGTATTGCATATGACTTCATCACTGTATTTTCCTCTTATGTTGCCCAGAGTTAAAGCACACAGTCAGTGGACTTTACTCAGTGCTTAGAAATTGAGAAATGTCTTATTTGGAGTTCATTTATTGGTTTTGTTTATGCCAACGTGGATCCAGTTGTAATCTTTATCAGCACATTGCAATCATTAGTTTCTTAGCCAGTAGTAATTAAAAATATGAGCCTCTTTTTAGGATTATTTTTCCCCCAAATTGCTTTGAGTAAATAATTACAGCCTGAATCTGTTTTGATGCATGACAGTAAACATGGTGTGTGTTTACTTGTTGAAAGAGAATAATAATATCCTGCTTGATGCGTATCAGATAATGAAAACTGTGCACACTTATTTTGAAAATTCATACTGGAACATTGGAATAGGAGTGTCATCAGTCTCAAAAATGAGAATCTTTGCTCCTATTGATCAGCTGCTAATCAATCAGACCAGCTTGATTTATTTATAGTGTATACAGAGATACTTTAAGTGCACACTGTCTGTTTTCATTATGCTTTTCCGCTTTGCCCTCATGCGACACTGCCACTCCATCCTGTCTTCATCCTAATAAAGATCTTCACAGCAGGAAGCTTTACCTCGGGACAGGGACACGTGTCGCTCACTTGTGAGACTCAGAGGAAGGAAACAAACCAAGGAAATGTTTTCCTAGCACACCCTATGCTCCATTTCAATTCGAATAAGCTGAGGCAGTGGGAATCATGGAGGAAGACAGAGGGGCGTGCAGACGAACAGAGAGGTGAAAGGGATGAAAGTGTGGCAGTCCCCACCTCCCAGTGTTGCAGTGTGAATAGGGCTGCCCACCCCTCTCTGCAGGGGGCATCCCCTCTCTCCTCCAGCAAGTAGACTCATTACACTCTCCACACAAATGTATCATATCTAAATCTGCAAACAAAGACACAATATTCAGAATACGCTGAAGTATCTGCTGGTTTTTGTCAAACTGAGAAGTTTGAACAATATTTTCAGCAAGAATTAAACAATTCATATTTTTGTTTCTCATGATGAAAAGTGCTGCAATCGTTATTTCAAATCTACAAGCTTGAAAAAGGTCATATTCCAACATTAAAGTGCATTTTTAAAAATAGAGCTGCAGCTAGTGCATGGTTATTCTGATGCTTATTTTCTTGAGTCATTGCCTGACAGTCTTTCACATGTCCTCTGAAAATCATTTTCTCTACAACCTAGATAACATCTTAAAATACAGTCCAAAAACACAAACTGTATAGTTTAGAATATTATAAAACAGAAAAAAAGCAGCCAATCTGTATGCACTGAATCTAGACCCTAAAAGGGTGTTTCAGTTAACTTTGAAGGAAACAACTTAAAAACAGTTGTAATTTTCACTTTTTGTTTTTTCAGCTCTAACAGTGTGCTAAATAACTCAGATTGTTCACCAAGATTATATACTAATACCAAATTATTTTGTATTTCATTTGTTATACATATTCTTTTTTTTTCTCAGCTTATTTTGATGTCGGTTATATACACTGGCATGCGAGACATTCTCACCAAGTCTTATGCAGTTGGAAAAAATTCCTAACTTTGGCAATATCTGTGAAAGTTTTAAGACGTTAGCAAGAAAAGTGCAATAGTATGACGCTGCATAGATAATGTAATGGTCTTTAAATGTCAGTAAAAAACTTCAGTAAGATAAACTTGGAAGGAGTACTGACACAGCAAATGCTTTACAATTTTCATGCATCCCAATTGGGACAGAAATCTCATCTTAATCACAACATAATGCCAGTGATGGTGAAGACACACATTCCTGTAGACACATATATAGTCTCCATTTTTATACCATGAGTACCTGAGAAACAAGCCAAATTCACATCTTCTTCTTTTTAAAAATTTTTTTACATTTCAAAAGTTTGCTTCAAATTTGTTTAGCAGTTATATGGAAATGCAGCTGCACATCTACTGCAATGAGATGAGATTACCATGTCTTCTCTATAATGCCTGTAGCAGGTGAATTTATTTATTTATAGAATTATTTACGCTGAACTCAGCATCCTACTGTCCTGAAAGCATAACGTATGTACACAAACATACACACACAGAGGGATTAAGCCAGTTCTGTTCTGGCAGTGTGACAGTTATTCTGTCTGGCAAGATTCAGTGCCACAGAGAATGACTCCACTACTAAATATACAGCAGATGCTCGAAACATAACCAGAGTCACACAAGTTTACTTCCCAACAGGCACGTGTGGACGCCTGCTCTGCTCTGCTTTCAGCTGGGCTCTCTGCACTCCACTGCTGCACTTCAAAACTTAGTGATGTTTATATGTGGTGCTTGTGGAGGCCACAGAGGTCATTTGTCTTCATCCTGGTGTTCATGAATCTTCTGTCAAACTTCACTGCTGTGTGGTTTCCTGTGATATAGCCATTCATCAGGCCCAGTGGACTATACCAGTTGTTCATGCTGCTCCAGATCCATGCCTTTTTACTTAGATGTTTCGTTTATATAAGAAAATGGTTGAAGATCTAGACTTTAGATCTAGATTTTGCTCTCAGAAACTCGTACTTCAGGAAAAATGGCAGCACCGCACTAACAAGCTTTCTGATCTTTACAACAAACAGTGTAAGTGGAGGCTGTGTCTCAGAGGTGATGATTCAAGCTCTTGGTAAATTATGAGGATGGAGTTTTGTGGTGTGAGTGTGGTTTACCAGCTTTGTTGGTACGACTCCCTATCGTCCTGTTGTTGATCCTCTGCTCACTTTCCCAGTGTTGTTTGCAGCTGTGACTCGCTGTCAGTGTCAAAATGCTTTTCAGTGCCTTTTGTTTCCTATAAAAGGCCACACACTGGTTACATCTTGATGCCAAAACTCTCTAGAAAAGAAGTCATTTTATCACATTTGCTAACCTGTTCTGCACTGCAGTCTGAAAAGCACAGACAATACACAACTATGGGCACCAATAGATGTGATGATATCTGATCCAGGCACTTTAACTTAAATAGTTAATTTGGTCAGTCTCTAGGTAGAAAGGCATATTGCAGAGAAAGCAGGAGCACTTTTGATTAACAGGAATGCAGGGTTAATTTTATTCCCAGAGCTGACGTTTTGGCAACAGTGGGCCTTCAACGGAGCTTAAAGGGAAAAGCTTAACAACTTTGTATTTATAACATCAGGGGTAACCAGATGTAGGAAATCTTCTGTATACAAAATATCTAGTCAACCTTCTACTTAATAATTCACTTCTTAACACATATCACATGTTACTTGTTTAATAAAATAGTGTGAGTGCACTCTGTATGTAGCAGAGTCTGATTTTTCTGAGACCTCTTTATCAGTTTGTGTGTATATTAAAGTGCGGATGTATGCTTAGAGTAGATTTCACTCATGTGATGTGTCCTTGACAATGTGTGCATGTGTGACAGATAATGGCAGTGTACAGTGCCCTACACAGTCAGTCAGGTAAAATCACTTACACACTGAGACTGGGGTTGTGTGGTTCAGAGTCGGCCATGGTTGAGAAGTTCAGAGTTTAATTTCATTTTCAGGGCAGTGGAGTGAAGCCTGAGCCTTAAATCCATGCTGACGCTACTGGCTTTGTTAAAGACTGACACTTTGCTGCAGTAAAATAGACACTCACACAATCGCTGACCCCCGTCCACCCCTGCTCCCCCACCCTCTGCTGAAGACAGTGTTATTATGCTTAGTGTGGCAGGATAAGTGGACCCTGATTGATCAGTATTGATTAGAACTGTATTTGCCAGACAGTAATGGGCCTCCCCCTCAGGACATTATGTCTGTTGATTCCCACCCACCCCCTTCTGAGGCCCCACTTCACCCTGCTCTTTATGCCCTGCTTGAAGAACCCTCCTCCACACCGTTCTTAGGCCCCTTGACCTCTAATCATAGCCTCCTTCACTTTGCCTCCACTGTTTCTCTGTATATTCAAGAAAGAGCTGAAAGATGTAGACAGGTTGTGAGGACAAGGCAGGAAGCGACGCAGAGGTTATTTAGGACAAAGTCGACACTCATGCGTTTGTTTCTTCTTTACCTTTGTGTGCAGAAGAAGGTAATGAATCCATCAACTGTTTTTATTTCATGCACATTAATCCTGGTCCAGTGTTTGTTTTGCAAAACCTACCTGACATAGTGTTTTTAACTCTGTTTGTGTGCAAGTCATTCTGTGTGTATGCAGCCTTGTGTACAGTACAGATGCGCTACAGATAGATCGCCGCAGGCATCTTTGTTCAGACGCCTCACAAACAATAGACGTGTCTGTGTGGATGGTCGGATGAGCATGGAACTGATTACAGCTGCTCTGCAGAAACACACATGTACACCCTCAATTACTGGTGCCACACAGATTTCGTGAAATACAAAAGGTTGAAAACATCCTGTCACAATATGGCAAATGTAGGCAGATTATCATATATTTGAAAGAAATCATATTTATTATGCAAGTTATGTTGGCCTTTTTAAGCATTATTTTGCACAAAACTCAAAAACCTAAAGGCAGTTTATTAACTATAACAAGGTACCTGTAAAGTTTGCCTTTTTGTGAAAAAGTTGAATTGTTTAACAGTGCTCTATTGTCTCTTCTTTTTTTCCCTACAGATTAACATACTGAGCCTCATCTGCCAGCACAGTACCGTCAAACCTCACCACACCTGCTTTGCCTGCACAGCTGGAGGCAGACAAGGTAACATTAGTATGTATGATCATGTGTATCATTTGTGTATCTGTGTGCAGTTTAATCTTTAAGCAAACTGTGGTATAGTGTTATTTTCGATTTGTAGTTTGATGTGAACTTGGTGGAGTGGAAGATTTAGCTGATTTCTGACCAAACAGTTGTTCTATGGCTGTTAATGAACTGTCCTCACAGCCAATATGTAAGCTCATTGTGTAATTTGTATTTTTTTCATGTGTAGAAATTAAGCCATTGATTTATCTGCTTTATTTTGAGTTTGAACAAAAGTCTTTTCACTTCCAGAATGTTTGGTTATGAAAAAAAAAAAACGAGATTCAAAGCCTTGATAATAGGCTGATTGATTTGATGACTTTGATATTTTTCTGCAATGGTGGGGTGAGCTATGTGCTCTGCTGTTTTGTAGATAAAGCACTGCTTCATATGCATTTAGTACCAATAATGGAATCCAGGTCACCTGATATCTACCTTGCTTCAATACAGGAGTGCAACACTAGCAGGCAGTCAGAAAACAAAATCTAGCTTTACGGGACTCCCACAATGCACTCTGATGTGACCCACAGAAATTCTCTGTCATTCAAGTACCAGCTTACCAGTGTTTTGTTCTGTTTCATTGTGATTGTGGTCATAAATGTGCTGTTATCAGTAGCCTGTGACAGCTGAAAGGAACATTTTGACCTCCATCTGATTGTCTAGTTCGGCTAAAAAAGACTAGGGTTAACTAACTATAGTCTGTAAGTTCAGTGGCGATCCTGAAACTAAAACACTGTTTGTTTGCTTTGTTTTTTACTGCTAAACATTTCTTTGATATAGAATAAAAATTGTATTTTGTATGTCCAGTGTCGTGCTGCACAATATGTTGTTTCAGTATTCATATTGCAATGTGCGCATGAGTAATAGTGCAATGTGAAGCAAAGCAAATTTACACATCAGACTACAATGTTTCCACAGCTAATCCACATGTTAAATCTGTCTAATAACATAATTTACTCTGGACTTCTTTGATACAGTGAGTTGTGTGTTTTGTTTTGTTTTGTTTTTTTAAACATTTATTCACATGATAGAATTTGTTGACATACAGGTTCCTAATGTGCACAGGAAACTGAGCAGGGAACAGGAGAGAAACACTGAAAAGGAATATTTCATTGCAAAAAGAAACAAATGGTCAGGTACTCTGTCAGCAGTGTCCTGCAATTGTTGCCACTACATGAGGCATCACAACTAATGTGAACATTTAAATCAGCACCACAAAGCTCTGTATGACAAGTACAAAGCCAGATCTGAATGCCATCCAAACTATTTTGGATGCCTTTGACGGTGTTACATCATAAGGGAAAGGTTCCAAACAGCTCTTTTCAGCTTTTTAAAAATTATTTCTTATTTTCAATGCACTCCCCTATAAAATCACCCCAATCATTCGAGAATGATTATTTCTTTCAGAATAGAGTTGCTCAAGTCACCTGGTAAATACTTTTCATATGGTAATATATACTACAGAAAAACCACATATTTCAATCCAAGTTTTTGCCATATCGTGCAGCCCTCGTCTTGTATCTTCTATCATTTATCAAGGCTAAGGATGTCTGGGATCCTTTTTCTACAGTACAAGATTGAATATTTTAACTTAGCAAAGCAAAACTACTTTATTCACAAAAAAGAAATTTCTCCATGGGAATAAAGTGGAGTTTGTGCAACCATGGAAATTGAGACATAAGTGCTGCAATATCTGAATATTTACATAATCATCTTGACCTCCCCTCTATTTCTTCGCGACACCCCCGTCTTTTGAGTTTTCCCGTTAGTCTTGTTTTCTCACCACCACTGTTCATCTGATCCATCTCCCACAGATAAACCAGTAAATAATGACTGGTGATGTGGGCTGCAGTTCGTGATCTTCCTACTGGATCCAAATCATTAGACTAGTTACGTCAGTGTCTGACTTTGTGTGTGTGTTTGTGAGAGAGTGTGTGTTGCCCTTGTCACCTCGTCCCCTGTTCTTCCTCCTCCTCCTCTTCCTCCTCATGAAGTCGCTCAGTGTCATGAGATAGCAGCCTGACAGACAGACAGGCAGATGGAAGTGACACTGGCGACATTAGTGGGATTCAGCAAAACAGCGCAGACTGAAATCAATGGAGACAATGACAGTGGGGTCGGGAAAGACTTGCGGAAAAGACTGGAGAGTGAAGCAGGGCGAGAGTGAGAGAGCTGCAGCTTAGTAAAGCTCCACTCCGAGAGGGAGAGATGTCGCCTCCAGATAACCAAAACAGACTTACAAGCCCAATATAGACCAGAGTCAGCAGCTCGATTGTGTGTTTCCTTCCAGCTCAATGTTCTGATACGTCAGTGTTGTTTTGAGTGTTTCCTGTAGAGTTGTGTTGTTGGTGGAGGAACAAAAAGTAGTGCTTTGTATCTGGGACTCAAGTTTCCAGAATCGTCTTTAGTTACTGATGCACCTAAACAGTTGGTCTAATTTTGCTATCTGTCACGCAAAATGGTACGATTTGCCAAATGAGAGCTCATTTTCATTTTTCTAGCTGTGCAGGAAGTTTTCCTGCTGCAGGAAAAAGAAATGCTGCTCTGTTACAATGATGTCTGGCCATGAGCAGAGCCTCGATTTGGCACGTACACCAGCCCGACATCAAATTTGTTTATCAAATCTGTTGTTTAGGAGGGAAAACAGGTTGCCTCTTCAGTCACAATGACACATCCGGGCTGCTGAACTTACACTCACGCCCTTCTTAAGGCACTGACAATTGGCAATTCATCTTTTGTTTTTGACCAGAGCTACTCTTAATTCTGTTTACATTAAGTCGGCTTCAAGTCCCAGGTTGTCTTCAGCAAATTGCAAATCTTTTAGCTCTCTAAATGCTGACTGTTTAGTGATAAGTATGATTTTTCTTTTTTAGTTCTGTCAGATGAAGGTTGAACAGATTAAAGAGTCTTAAATTAATGAATATTCCAGCACTTAGTAAGACAGGGTGCAGGAGTTTTCTCATTTCTATTCAAGTCTGTCTTAATTTTAATCTTTGTGTTCCTCTGACATCCTTTTATTGCTTTTATGGGTTTTGTTTTCTTGACTGAGACTTAAGTTCTATGAATGTAAATGCCCAATAATTAAAACGGGTGTGCGTGTTTGTCACTGTTTTATGTAATTTTATTGTTTTGAGATTTGAATATGTCGCAAAGTTGAGTCCACACCCAGTCTTAAGTCTTTTAAACTTGAGTCCTATTCACAAGTTTGCAGCTTTGCTTTTTAACAATATATATATATATATTGCATATTATGCCTTTTCTTGACAGTTAAAGAGGCAGACAGGAAATATATGGTGAAAGTGAGGGGTATGACAGGCAGTACAGGTTCTTGGCTCGGGTACCAGGGTGCTCCGCAGCTCTGCTTTTTGTTTTTGTTAGTTGATTAAACACAAACAAGCTTCTGTGTTTCCAATAGCATGCCCTTCTCAAAACTGTCTTTCATGACCCGTGGTTATTTTTATGTTTACTTGTGTTAGTTAAATAATCGTTCCAGGTTTTTAAAATTAACTTCAGCTGGTTCTGTAAAACCTCACTTCTAAATAGGACGAGGTTGATGAGGGCAAACTCGGGGTCACTGAGACCTGATGGCACCTCCTGGAGTCATGGTGGCATGAATAGTGGATGTGCTGTCCCCAGACAGCCTGCCAGCACTGTATTGTGTTGTATTATGGTGTCGTGCTCTGCTCTGCTCCTGTCTGCCGTCTGCCAGTCATATGTAGCACCATCTGTTCTTCAAACCAGCCCATAATCTAGCTCGCACTCTGGCATCATTTGCTTTATTTAAACACGTACTTGAACCAACGCCGATGCTTTATATTTGGAAAGGTTGTTTTTGTCTTTGAGCACTTCGAATTTTTGTATCGTTTAGATGGTTATTGTAAACATTTTTGGAAGCCTTTTGCATCTTTTCATGTGACTTTTGCTGTTGACGTATGTCCTGGCTGCAACATATGGCAGTTCTATCTCCGATTCAAGCTCTCCGTCACACTCCACACTGAGCTCAGGTCCGCCTGCATTGCTGTGACATACCAGCGAGCACCAGCAGCAGTGGCACCTCCTCCACAGCGATTACACTCATTCCTCTGGAAGCTGCACTCCTCCGCTAGCTCTGTCATTACTACCATCTAACCAGTGTAATTACCAGCCTCGGTGTGTGTTTGTGGTGCATGGGCCAAGCCTGCATCATGCAGGGCAAGTCGGAGCGAGTGTGCAAAGAGAGAGGAAGGAGCATGAATGGGAGAGCCAAATCAGGGGAGGTACATCCTTGAGCTAACTAATTACTATATGTGAGTAATTAAAAGGCATTAAATGTCTGCGTTTTATCTTCTGAAGTCTGTGCCAAAGCTGTATGTGTCTGCCCAATTCTTACTGTAGTGGAGCAAGATTAATTCCTTCTTCTTGTGTTTTTCTCTCTGGATTTTTTTCCCATTTTGTTTGCAGTTGGTAATCATATTTTATAATGTTGATTGGCTTAAAAAGCAGCGTTTATACCTCCATGCTCTCCCGTCATCTCACCAAATGAGCAACATTTTTAGTTAACAGTTGGCTCCTTTGGCCTTCTGTATACGTAGATCAGATACCTTTGTTAAGAATAGTTGAAAATGTATGTATTTTGTGTTTCTTGCTCATTGTTTCTCTTAATTGATAAGCTTGCTGTATGGGTCTTTTGAAAGTAACTTGGTGTTTATACCTCACAGATATGGATAGTTTTGTGTTTTGAGAAGATGGGGAAGTTTCTTCTTCTCTCGCTCATGTTTAGTGTCAGTTTGATTCATAGAGGCAAATTGTGTGATACTATTGAGAGCACCAACAGCAAAGCTTGGACATTTAATATAGCCTTATTTTATCATCTCCAGGTCAGAATTTCAAAGTCATTTTTTCATTTATGACTGAACACTTGAGAAGTTAATGGCATTACCATCAGCTTCAACTGTACTTTTATTTAGCGCTAATTAGCAAATGTTAGCATGCGAACCCGTGTAGTCTTTTTAAACATCACACACGCAAGCCATCAGCTTGTTAGCATTTAGGTCAAAGCCCGTCTGTGCCCAAGTATTGCCACACAGAGCCGCTAGCATGGCTGTTCTGTTAAATTTAGTCAGGTGTGTTTCTCACTGATGGCCTGTGTGCTGACAGAAGTCCCTGATAAAACAGACCACACTCTCTGCATTGCCTCTCTCATCAGGCACCTCAGACACATAATGAAGCCATTCTCCTGCTCCTGCAGCTGGGGCGGATAATCTAGGATTGTGCCTCATAGTGGATCACAGGACAGCCCTCTGAATGAGGAAAGACTCTGTCAGAGACCATGATCAGAGCAGGAGCCTTTGGCCCGGAAGTGCCTGTGGTTCTCCAAACACAAAGACATGATACAGACATGCGCGGCTGTATGACTATAGGGGGAGTCTGTTTGCTGTGAATGAGTTTTGTTGATGGTGCTCTTGTGCGTGTATGAGTGAGTGAGTAATGCGGTCTTGGGGCCAAAAATGAATTCAAGAAGGACTCATAAAAGACGTTGTGTATCATAAAACACACACAAACCACTCCGAGCTGCCTTGACACAATGGAAAGCTCGATGTTATGCAAATTGGATTCCATAATGAGATAGTCACCCCAGGAGCTGACATTTGTAGAATTCGCAAAAACTCTGGCAGCTGGAGAGCGGCACAACAAAATTGTTGCAAATGTACGCTTTCTGCTGGCTTTTAGACTTACTCGAAAGAGTCAAATGTTCAGCTTCTCTTTTCAGGGAAGTGTATCCTCCCCTGATGTTTAAACCCCAGTGGCTCAATGTGCAACAGCAGTATCGGTGAAGTACTTAAACTTTAATGTGGTTTCATGTGAATCCAAATGATTATACAGTAGAACATTGTGCGTGTGGGTGTGTTTTTCTACTGGTGGTGGAATCATATTAAATGCTTTTAAAGCTTTTGTCTGAGGAGTAAAATTTTACCGCTCATATCTGATTAACTATGAAGAAGAGTTTTGCTGTTGTAACATTTGAAAGGCCAGTGGATGTTAACATACTGATGGGGAAAAAAGGCTTCAATAAGCCGTGTGGGATGAAATGTACGGTTAGTCTGAATAGATTAAAAGAACTGGGATTTTATGAGAGCTGGCTACTACAGAACAGCATTGCATAGGAGTCTAAAGAGGGTGAAAAGAAACTGAACACTGGAACGTAACAGAGCAGATTTTCTAAAGGTATATGTGCAGATAATATAGGTGTAGATATTTCAGTGACTTTGGCAGTTTGAGGAGAGACTTAAGTAGATAAAAGAGCTTTAATCCAAGAATGGAGAGCAGGAGAGATGGATGGATTAAGCACATTTACATTTTAGACATTTAGCTGAGCCTGTCATTCGAAATAACTACCACCTCGCACAGTTATTATTATCACAGATGTTGAGTCCAGGGTATCTGCAGTTCTTGAAAAGTCTGAAAAAGCAGTCTATTTTTGTTTTGTTTTTTTTGGCTTGTGTAGGCATTGATGCTATAAAATGTCATTGTACCCAATTGCGGGCTGTCGGAAGACGCATCTTAAATAATGTGGAAATGTTTTGACGGTGGATTGCAGTTGGGTTTTTTTTGTGGAATTTCAGTCAATACAAGAACTGTCACTATCTCTAACTACACTAGCATAAATAGAAACTCTGTAAAAACAGATAGTGTGTTGGTTTTAGTAAAACTGCACAATTTAATCATTTTTACTTGGTTCGTCCATCCAAGTCACATTCATTTAAATAAAATGGCGTTAGAAACAGTTTTTTCCTGCCGAGAAATACTGAAAAATGGCATATATTATATAAACCTAAATTTACTAAGTACCATCCCTGCTGATATTCCTTTATACTTTGGCAAGTTTGCTTGTGAAACTGATTTTAAACTGCATTCTGTGCTGTATTAAAGAATCTTTAAAAGTCTTGAATTCAGCTTGGGGGAACCCTGCAGAAATTCTTGTAATGGGACCCAGACGCATACAATAGACTTCATAAAGTACAGTGTTTGTTGTACAAGGCTGCCAAGATCCCCCAACGGCTCATTCTTCACATTTGCGAATGGACCACCATGCCAGCACACTGTCGTTGCTTGCTGTGTCATCCAGTGGAGTCATAACCACATCGTAAAAAAATTCCCTGCCGGTCACTCTGAACTACCACAGAATTCAAAACTGAAAGATCTGACTATAACTCGAGACTTTTGTCTGGACTGATGATGACCAAAGAACAAAGTAATCCACCCTGCTGAGAACTTTACAATAAGTTCTACACTTCTATAAGTTTAGCTTTTTCGACCACCAAACATTAAGTAAACCAAAATAATCAGACAGTATTCCTGTTCCTGTGCAGTGATGTAAGACATTACTGCTTGTAAAAATCATTCCAATAAACCTCAGAGGACACAGAAGATGCTTCTGTGTAAGCAAGTGTTTTTTACAAGGCTGGTGAATTTTTAAGATTTGATGCTTTGTGACTGTCATACTAAAGCATGCTGTTGTGGTCCACTGAGCAATGTACCGCCCTCCTCCGTGCTCTTTCTTGACTCTTTCCAGTCACTCTATTTCTGGCTTTACCCAACCTCGCCCCTCCGGCTCATGGGTCACTTTGTGCTATTGCCCTTTCTGCCTCTTCATCTCCCTGTCTCAAAGACTATTAACTATACAAAGTTGCCTGTTGTTTTGCATCACTCTGTAAAAAAAAGCAGAAACAGAGTGTGTTCTGTTTGTAATGTCTCAGCCGTGTGCCCGCATGGCGCCAAATTAAGTCAAAAGCTGACTTTACCATAATTAGAATCTACGATACAGTGTGACAACGCTCCGGCACTGAAGTGATTAAATTGTCTATGTACTCTCTCTGTTTGGATTTGTATTACTTTCTGGTCTGATAATATTAGCTGAAGTGTTTCAGAGGTTTTAATCTGCAGAAGAGCGGCCACAGCCTTTGTGTCCTGTGGGTGTATGAGTGTTTGTACGTGCACGCACATGCACACAAGTGCACAGAGTATGTGATAATAATATCCCTTGTCAGCCTCCTGAAGATTAGTCTCAACGGGAGAAATCCTCTGTCATATCCCCTCACCTTATTTTCTCTCTCACTCTCTCTGGCTCGTTCTCTCTGGCTTATCAGTCTTACATTGTTTTACAGTTGAGTGACTCATTCTTTTCTGAATTCAGAGCCCAGTTTTTCTTTGGGTCTGTAGAGAAAATTTGGGTCACAGAAGTCCTGTAATGTAAGAATTTGTCCAGTCTTTCACATCCAATTTGTTTATAACAATAATAATAATGCTGTAATTCTTTTTCTTTCCTCAGCTCTACATCAGACTGAAAATAGTCACAAGAAGAAGAACAAGAAGAAGAAGAAGAAGAGCAGGACTGGCCCTTATTCAGAGTGGTCTATCATGGACCAGTGAAGTCTTTCCCACCCTGCCAGTTAAAAGCGATGTTTTTGGGAGCTGGAGACCGTAACACCATCAGCAGAGTGTGTGTGGGGCCCCTCCGCTCCGTCTTCCCCAGCACCCCTCCTGACATGGGATGCCAGCCCCCTGCCCCCCTGCCCTGAGCTCTCCTGGGGTGCCATGAACAGTTACAGAGACAGAGGGGTAACTTGCACCTCCTCAGACCTTCTGGATGGAGGAGGAGGAGGGTTGCCACAGCACGCTTCATTTCGTCACACCCCCAATGGCCACCCAGTCCCCGGTCCCCCAGACCCGGCCATCCCACCGCGCATCTCCGTGCCCAAAATGGGTGTTCGAGCACGGATTGCAGAATGGCCTCCGCGTCGTGCACAGTCCCGGGAGTCGCTGCTTGAAAACGGGCAAATTGGCAGCAATCATTACGCAGACGACTGCTCCACGTCAGTTTCGTCATCGGTTTTGTCATCCGATGTAAGGTTGGTGCGGGGAGGAGTTGCCAGGTTGCCCCGAAGACGGTCTAAGGATGTAGAGTTCAGAGGAGGAGGGTTTGGTGGTGAAAGAAATTCACCTTTCAGTCTAAGAGTGTTCCCACCTCTGCGACAGCGATCCAACAGTGAAGTGACACTAAGTGAGCAAGATGAAAATGAGGTGAGCCTTAGATCTTCCTCTAAGTTCAGACCTGTTGTTTGGTTCATTTGATCCGAATTAAGGGAAGTATAATGTACTGTTGCCTTTTAAAGTTACAAACCAAGATTAGCATAGGTGAAGTTATACAGGTTAATGAGAAACTCTTTTATTTAAGATTTTTGGTCGCTGTCATTTTGCTTCATCCGTGTTTCATAGACCCACAATGAGAAGTCAAATTCTGGTGACTGACAGCAAGTGGTGCATTTGACTGCATTTCATGTATATGTTTATGTTCTCACAGAGAGCTCACCAAAATAACTGCAAGTATCATTAATGCCATTTTTATTATTATATAACAAGTGTGTTAACTGTTTTCCATTTTATGAAGTATTTGTTATGTGGCTGTCTGCTTTACTTTCACATGACAAATAAACCACACCACTGTTCGCTTTGACCTCCACATTTGTAAGAGCTCTTTGTTTGACCGTTGGAGCCCCATTAGAGTGTGATTTACAGTTTTTACATCCAAAAACACCCCAGTTTCTTTGAAATGAGTGTTAAAGTACATACGTTTACATTATTGTATTGTATCCACTGGTTTGTTATCACACACTGAAATTCTTTCCTCTCTTTGCTCCAAGGTGGAAGTTCATAGAAGTGTTGGGATGGGGAACCGGTTCCGAGAGTATGGCAGCACCTCATCCATCGACATCCAGGGAATTCCTGAGCAGAGCTTCTTCGACATGCTCAGCCAGTTTCACCAGGAGAGGCCTGACCAGCGCAGCTCAGCACCGGTTCGCCTGGGGGAGCTGCTCGGGGCTCCTGACTCACCACACAATGCACCTCTGCCCTCTGCTCCCTCACCTGGTCCCTCAGGTGGGGATGACAGAGGAAGGAAGGATGGTGAGAGAGTGAGGAAAAAAAGTGGTGGGACGGAGTCGTCACTTGGTACCTCCTCTTTGTTCCGTAAACTTCGGAGCTCGAGTAGAGGGGAGCTGGATGGAGGAAAAGGAGAAACTATTGAGGACAGGGGAGGACGAGGTTTTACAGATGCCTCTTACAAACCATGGGTCTGTCCCAAGAGCTTTGTCCACTTTGATGCTCAGAGCATCCTGTTTGACCTCCATGAAGCAGCGGCTCAGCGTGGCTTTGTCGCCCAGAGGCGGAACACAGCCACGGGGGCATCAGCTGCTTCAGTGTCCCTGTCCATCTCCAGATCCTCAGCTCCAAGTGTGAACGACCCCATTTATTCCAGCATTGAGGATCTGACCATGAGCCTCGACCCGGGCTCCACAACACCCTCCCTGGGCATGGACCCTCTAGATGGGCCTGGAGCCCAGAGCTCGAGCCCACTGCTCCTCTGCTGCCCCCACTTCCTCAATGAGACTGGGGGACACGGAGAGCGCAACATCAGCTTCCTTAGCTCGTCAGCAGAGAGAGGAGCAGACGGAGGAGGAGAAGGAATAAGGGGTTGGCTGAGAAAGAGTAACGCCAGCATGTCGGTGCTGGAAGTGCCTGTTGAACAGCAGGTTACAAGACTGGACAGACTGAAACTGTACAGCATAGAGCATGTAGACCTGGGGGCCAGATACTACAGAGACTACTTCCATGGGAAAGGTAAACGTACTGAAACATATTCACTCTGTAGCAGATATCACACTTAATCTATAAACATTCTTTGTTCTTAAGAAATGGACAAAAGCAGAATTAATTGCCTTAACTTGCATGACACGTTTCACAAACAAAGCAAATTAATTTATATAAAACACAAAAATACATTAAGGAGCAGCACAGTTGTGCAGTGGTTAGCATTGTCATTCACAGCAAGAAACCTCTGGATTCAAGCCTGCTGGTCAATTGGTTTGCATGTTGTCCTGCATGAGCTTTTTGTGGGTGCTCTGACTTCCTCCAGTAGCATACATGGTAGGTTAGTTGGTGATTCCCAATTAGCTGTAGGTGTGAGAGTGAATGTGCATGTTGTTGTCTCTGTGTTAGCACTGTGGTGGACTGATGACCTGCCAGCTGACAGGCTTCACTCCCCTTAAACCCCTGCAAGATAAAGCCTGTATAGTTAATGGATATATGTATAAATATTTGAGACAAGATAGAGAGTATCAAGAAGGATTATAAGATGTATAAATAAAGTAGTAATGAGTTATCAAGACTGTGATTCTCATATGAAGATACGTCCACTCCAAAAACGTTAAGTCAGTTAATCTGATAGTCAATCCTCAGGACATTTTTTAAAAAGTGATTAAAGTAGGGCTGCTGGCAGTTACATAGTTGTTTTTTCTTTGATGAATCATTGAGTCTAAAATGATAATGATATAATTTTTTAAAAATTCCTTTCATCTGTTAGTGAATTTCTGTTTTGTTTCTTTTGTCCAGCCAAATTTTAGGGACATAAAATAAAGAAAAGCTGAAAATCATCACATTTAACAAGCTAGGACCAAATGTTTTTTGTTCTTGCTCAATTCATGAATTTAATAATTAATGCGTATTCAATGCCATGAGTTAATTTATCACTAGAAACCTTTGCTATACCTCGAAAGATTTTTCCTTTCTCTCTGTTACCTGTCAGTGTATCTGCTGTCACTACAAAATAAAGGCAAGTGTTAGAAACAACATCCTTAAATAAGTAATGTTTCATTTTGTGTTGATAAATGATCAACCAATAGCTTCAGCACGAGATTAATATTTTATATAATCTTTTTTCCCGATTTATCCTGCTAAAATGGAAAGTTTATTTTGTTTGTTTAAATCCCAAATAATTGATCACTTCATCAAAAAATAAATAACTCAAAAGATATTTGACTTGTGCAAACAGTAGTCCATTGCTGGAATAATTAATCAGTAGTGACAGCACATAGTGATTATACTCTCTTCACTTGCAACCCTTGTTGTCATCGGTCTGTATGAATTAGAGAGTGTAAATGTCGTTTGTCCAGCCAGAGTTTCTCCAGTGTCATTTCCCACATGTCATCTTGCGGCTGTTAATATCCATCTGGGCCTGAGCAGAGCAGAGCGGGCCAAACTGGCAACCCTCCCAGAGCTTTTATTACACATGTACCTGCCACTGGACTGTTGGCAAACTGATCTGATGATACAACACCTGCCTTTCTGCAGGATCACAAGTAGGGCTTAACAAATCGACCAGCGTGTCTTTGTTTTACATCTGGTTTATAGTGTCAGAAGTAGCACCTTACTTTAGAGAGGAAGGGTGTGTGTGTGTGTCTGTGTGTGTCTGTGTGTGTATGTATGTGTGTGTATGTGTATGTATGTGTGTGTATGTGTGTGTGTTTGTGTGTGTTTGTGTGAGTGATGTGTGCCTGTCAGTATGCATGCATGTGGGCATTTCTGGCGGCATCACCTCTTCAGACACTGTTGATGAAACTTCCCCCTGGCAAGCATCATCTGGCTGCAGCCTAATTAGTGGCAGATGCTGTTAGGAGCACGTGTGCACGCAAGCGTGTGTGTGTGTTTGTGTGTGTTAAAGAGAGAGAGAGTCAGGCCTGCAGCCACACAGATAAAGGTTATCATTCCAAAAATATGTTCATCTGCTGACGTGTTTCCAGCTTAGCTGTCCCCCAGAACGCTGCTGTGATTGTGTGTGTGTGTGTTTGCTGTGACGTGCCCCGTGTGCATGTCAGAAAGCCTCATCAAAAAGCTGACATTTCCACCACAGGACATGGCATAGAAGCTAATCAGGCCTGAGTCTCCTAACGTGTACGTCATCCCAGTTCACTCCAGTCAGAGAGGGGATCGAGGAGGAATACTTGTCAAGCTGGATTCTTCTTCAAGAGTCTGGAGAATTTGCGTTTCGACTCCCACACTGCCTGTGGCTTTGGCATTAGCACGGCTTAGCTTAGGAGCTTTAGATGAGGACATGCAGGATGCTCATGAAGTTTGTCTTGGCCTCTTTAATGGATGAACAGGTTGTGTTATGCCAACACAGGTAACAAGCAAAGCCCGACAGACATTCGATTTTTGGGGCTCAAACCAATTTTTAGAGATTAGGAAACCAAAATATCAATATATTTAGAGTTGTATTGAAACGAGAAATGGTGGGAGTCATTGTTTATCAACTGTCCAGTAATGTATTTGGAAACTTATACTGAATACAAAGCTACACCCCGCATGTGTACTCTGCTACATGTGCTGCAGGCAGAGTATTGTAAATAGTGGAGTCGGATAGGCTCTGCTGGACAAACTACGTGATGACACTAAGTTTTTATAAGGGTGCGTATCGAATGACATACATGCTAACTTTGGCCGATAATACTGGCCAACCAATATAACAGGTAGCTTGGACATATTTTTTCCTTCTATAGTCGTATTCTGGGAGTCAAATTGTACTCAAACCAAATCCACTTTTCTCGTGAAGCTCCTGCACACATCACAACTACAATGTCCAGCATCAATCAAGTGTTTAGCCCTTTAATCCTCACCTTTGTTGAGAAGCAATAATAACATTCTGTGGGCTGTCTTGTCTTAGCTAAATTGATTTTGTATTTACCTGAGCATTGATTACTAGATAACATGTCACTGTCTTAGTCTTGTCCTTGACTTATTGCCCCTCCACTGTCAGTTCTACTTACTACACATAAAATACCTGACATCCAGCTTTCTTCCTGTCACCTCATCTGTCTCATGTTGTAAAGGTTAAATGTACTTGCTACTCTTGTTATTGGTGTTGTAATGTCTCTAGCAGCCTCTGTCATAAGTTATCAAATGTTGACTTGTCATGCCTGGTCACATTTTGTTTCTGTTTTGTTGGGAGATATTTAGCATAATTTCGCAAGTGTCAGTTACTGTTTGTTTTCAAATAATCTGTTAAAAAAAGATTTGAAATTGGAAAAAAAAAATATTATCACAATTTCACAGAGCTCATGGTTAACTGAGGGATTGTCTGACAAACACTCCAAAATATAAAGATGTCATCAGTTTTTGTCATCAGGCTCAGGTTCAGAAAACCAGTAAATATGTGTATTAAGGAATCTGGAAACTAAAGTTTGTGGAAATTTGCTTGAAAATAACAATGAAGCTTAGTACCTTCTTGACTGTAGACATATCGTATCGGCATTAGTGTTTTGATATACTAAAAAACACCCTCAACTGATTTCTCATTTGATGATGTACCAACTATAGACATAACACACGACTGTGTTGAGACATAAGTGCGTGAAGTAACATTTTCTCCAGCACACAACCTTTAACTTTTATTATCTCTGTTCTTCACCAGAGCACTCAAACTACTTTGGGACAGATGATAAGCTGGGCCCTGTGGCTGTGAGCATCCGCAGAGAGAAAGTGGAAGACACCAAAGACCTGAAAGACCAGTACCAGTACCGCCTCATCGTCAGGACAAGCGAGGTATGTGCAGTCTGCTGTTTGTGTGTGTTTGTCACGCGGATTTCTGAGCGACGAGTCACCTATGAGTCAGAGCAAGCAAGTTAATTCCTTACCTACTTTCAGTTTATCCAGTCCTACCTGTGACACTTCCTGCCCTCTCTGCCCTGATTATAACCTTCCCCCTTCCCCCTCACCCCTCAGCTCACCCTCTCTCCTTTCAACCAGTGGAAAATTCCACCTGCCTGGTCTCAGCACTTTAAAGCCAAACCAAACACTGGCTGCTCTGGCCAAAGCATTTGGCCTGTTCTTTCAGCGAGCACACCCGGCCACTTTTCCACTTTGATGGATCAAATACCCGTAATGTGTTAAACGACAGACTGGTGATCATGGAGAAGTAGTTTACAGATTCTCTGCAGTCTCTTCCAGATGTGTTCAAAGACTCAACTACAGACTACTCATTAACTCTTAAACATTCTGCTTCCAGAGCACCAGACTTAGTTTTCAACTCTTTTCATTGGCCAGTATTGTCATATCATGATCAAAGACATCATTTTGGCATTGCTGTAGGCTGAAACTAAGAATTATTTTCATTATTGATTGATCAGTAGGTCATATTCTCGATTAACGTAGTGTTGTTC